TATCGTCGGGGGTGATCCCTACTAGGTATGTGAGTTCTTAGTGTGGGTTGATCTTTTCCCCCACACACCAAACTCACTTTTTATTATTTGAGAAAAAGATTGGGGTTGTTGTTGAAGTTGTTAGTTGTTGTTGGTGTTGTTGAAGTTATTGTTGGTTGTGTGTTTGAGTTGAATCTCTTGTATGTTGAGGGATGATCCTTAGTGTTTGGGGTTGAATCCATTGAAGTAAGGGTGGTTTAGAGTTGGCAAAAAAAGGGAGAAAAGTCAAGTTTTCTGGGCTAGGGGTTGGCGCGTCGCGCCTGCCAGCGCGCCCCAAGAGGAGCTCTGAAGCCCAGCCCTTAGGGCGGCGCGCCAGCCAGAGCGCCAGTAAGACCCTTCTGAACTTCAAGGGCTGGCTCTCCGCGCCTTGCAGAGCGCCAAGGACCCCAACCTACCCCTTTCATCCCCCACTCTTTCATGCATGTTCCTAAGTATTATACCTATGTTTCCTAGTTGTTTCCAACACTCCAAAGTACGTTTAAATGTCAAGAACTCATCTATAAACGTGTGGTCATATACCTTGAATCCATAATCCAATTCAAGGCGAGTTAGTATCAAAGTCAAGTGAAGTCAGAGTCAAGTCAAGTAAAGTTAATAAGTAAGTCCAAGCAAGTCTTTAAAGCTTTTCAAGAGTAGTTATTGAATGTTATAATGTCGTTTTAAGGTTCAAGTTGCAAGTCAAGCAAAGAGTATAGATTTTCAAGTTGAGTAAGAGTCTCAAGTTTCAAGTCGAGTAAGAGTCTTGGGTTTCAAGTTAAGTCAAGAGTTTAAAGTTGAGTCCATTTTCTCAAAAGCTATTAGGGAACTAAGTATTCCCAAAGAAGTTTATAAATGTTTTTACATTTAAGTAAGAAAGGAACCATGTTTTCCAAAAGAGCCTTTGGGCTAAGTTTTGAGTAATTATCTCAATTAAAGAAAGATGTATTTAAAGTACTTATGAGCCAAAGTATTTTGGGAGTAGTATTGAGCACCAAATTGGGGACGCGAGTTCACATTAACTCAACTCTCCAGAAGAACCATGCGCCAACATGGGACTTGACGTATCATTCTTTTTAGATGATTACGTAAGATTAAGCTAGTGGATCCACTAAGCAATAGTAAGGTCCTATATCACGGCAAGGTATAGGATGGTCATTGGGCAACGTGAGGTAAAACGTTGTATCATTACTAGGGCTCATAGTGGTGGTTGTCGATTAAAGAACCTCCCACAAAGGCTATATTACTTTTAAATAAGAAAAGTTGAGTTTGTTATTGTTTTATCATTAACAAGCTAAGTTGTTTACATTGTTTTACAAGCTAATTATATATTGCATGTGTCTTATTGCTTTAGATTTTTGAGTTCAATTGTTCATGAGTCGAACAGAGTCAAGGTAAGTATTCTCTCTTGTACTCCTTTCAAGCATTAGTGGAGGTTCAACTTTCCAGCTCGCATACTCATACATTCCATGTACTGACGTCAGTTGGCCTGCATCTTATTATAATGTAGACACAGGTACCTCGGATCAACATCCTGCACGTCGTTGATCCAGCTGAGCAGTTCAAAGTCAGTGGTGAGCCTCCTTGCTTCCGGAGGACTCAGTTATTTTGTTCTCTTAAGTTTTGTTTTATTAGGATGTTGCAGGGTCTGTCCCAACATCCATCTCAGTATTCTAGAGGCTTCATAGACAATCAGTCAGTTAGTTTTGAGTCTCTTATCTATGTATATATGTAAATATTCTATTTTGAGACTCGAGTTGCCTTTTTGGCCAAACTTTATCAGTTAAGTTGTTTTGTAACCTTGTATTTGCATTGAGTTATTCTGTTGAGTTAGGTTTCCGCTGAGTTAAGAAAGCCAGGCCAAGGGTTCGCTTGGGGCCAACAATGGTCTCCGGGTGCCGGTCTCGCCCAGGGTGTAGGCTCGGGGCGTGACAACATCTTTCTATGATGCAAATACAGGTGTTTGGGATCATCAACAGGCACTCCGTTGAGATCATCTGGCACTCCAATTAGCTTTTGGTGATCCTCCTTGCATTCCGGAGGACTCCCCCTTTCTTTTCAGTTTAGTTAGTTTAGGGTGTCGTGGGTCTTATCCCGATATCCATATTGAAATATAAAGGCTTCATATATAGATAGAGTTAAAGGAGTCTCTCAGTACTTTCTTTTCCGTTGAGATGTTTCGCAAAGTATTACTATTGGATTTAGTATTGTTTTCAGACAGTATGAGTTGAACAATTTATAGTTTTAATGATTTACTTATGTTTTAAGCCTTTAAATGCTTGAGCCAGTCTTCCACTAAGTAGTCAGATAGGCAAAGGGTTCGCTTGGGGACCAACAATGGTTCTCGAGTGCCGTCCACGTCCAGGGTGTAGGCTCGAGGCGTGACAATTCTATCACATAATAATTTACCAAACACCAAATGGCTAATATGCCACTCCCTGTCTTACATGCTCCTATTATACTACGTTGAACAAGTAGCCCCAAATTAGCAACAAATATATTTACAATTCTAACCATTGTTATGAAGTAGTCTGGACTTCCCAATATTCTCAATCATCACCTACAACGTTTAACAGGTTATCTAGACTTACACAAAAATCACCCCAGAATTTAAACACACAATCCGAGCACTCAGGGACCAACATGTAATACTTATAACAGAACAGACCAACTTGGTTCTCTCATGGAACACATAATGTTACACTCAAGTAAATCCATTCAAGCCTCACCCCTTCTTCCCTCAAGCCGAAGCATCCCTTTTATAAAATTGGTAGATATATTTTTTAGAAGATTATTATTGAATATAATACTATTTGTTTTTCTACATTTTGGCATGAAAGCAACATTAGGGCGTTGACATTCCAAAGTCAAATTATGATCTAGTAAGGCATGAAGTGTGCCGTTTAAATTCCAACTACGTACTTTGTGTTCTTTAAAATTGCCATACCTTCATTATATTTGATATTTTAAAGGTAAGCTACGACTTCTTCTTCTTCTTTTCAGGCTCCATATGAACAAGAGGGAGTACATGCTAGACAAATGAGATCGATCGTGCAGCCTATTTACAGATTTCTTTTATCACATCAATCACCATCTATATCCAACTAAAGAATTGTTGGCATATTCCTCATTGAATTCAAATCTAAATATTTGTTCATCCCAAATTTAAGCTATTGATGGTGATTCAAATTTCATCCAAGAAGATATCTAGCCAAATTTAATCTTTATGTGGTATAAAATCTATCAACATTGATTTACTCATTTATTATTATTTAATTAATGATGGAAAGTTTATTGGCTCTAGAGAGTAGAGAGTTAATTGGAATCAAGTACATATAAATTCATTCGGATTGGAAGCTCATTATTCAAGAAATATTGATATTTATATAATTCTACTATATTACTCCCTATGTCCCTAATTACTTGTCCATTTTTGAATTGATACACCTATTAAGAAATCAATTATTGATATAGCGAGTTTATCATTTTACCCCTATTAATTATGAAGTAGATGAATTAAAAACTTAAGATTTTCAAGAAGTTCTACATTTTTTAAAGTAATTAATTGAGGTATAATAGGTAAAAATATTTTGTCCTTTCTTGATTTGTCAAAATGGACTAGTAATTAGGGACAACTAAAAAGAGAAAAATAGACAAGTAATTAGGGACAGAGAGAGTAGTTAACATCAAATTTCAAAATCCTATATATAAAATACTTACATGACTATTAAATTTTCAAAATCTTAATATAAGGACTTAGAAACATTGAAATGGACTAAAAGAGAAAAATGTATGTTACATAAATTGAAGCAGAAAAAGTATAAAAATAAAATTCTTTCGTTTTTAATTAAAGATTTTAAATTCGAATTTCCAGAATAGAGAAACTCCTACTGTAATGTAAGCCTAATTAGTCGTGTCATGGAGGTAATTACTGAATTACAAATATACAAATGATTGAAGTGTCTCGTTGGCCATGGATAATTTTCACGTTTTTGCGAAATTTTATATCACAATTCGAAAAATTTTAAAAGTTGTTTTCACATTTTTAACTGCAGAATCACTCACAAAATTTTTAAAACTATTTCAATTTATATTTCTGTTCAAACGCAACTCCAATTTTTAATCATCATACTGAAAATAAATACTATTTCCTTTGTCCAATAATAGTTGTCCATTATTGATTTTGCACACTTTTTAAGAAACTATAAATAGAAGGGTAATTTTACTATATCATCCTAATAGAGAGCGTAGCTAGAGCTATCCTGAGTGTCCAATTAGACACCCTTCGTCGGAAAATTACATTATATATATATATATATATATATGTGTGTGTGTGTCAAATTCTACATTTAAAGTATATATATTTAAAGTTGGACATCCTTGACAAAAGTTATGCCTTTGACGGAGTGATAATAGGTGTTCAATTGAATAAAAGAGTTCTAGGTTTGAACCCAAATAACACTATTGTTTTGTTTTATTTTAACAGCTACACTATTGTTCTTGGACATTGATAAAATTTTTGTCTCCTTCACTGTCCTATAAATACAATGTCTTGAAAAATGTAATAGGAAAATGACTATAATTAATTATAAGGATAAAATAGAAACTAAGTGTAAAATTATCTATTGATTTCATAAAGTGAATAAGTATTATTGAATATCCTAAAATAGTATAGTGTACAATTATTATTGGACTGAGGAAGTAGTATTTTTGTCAAACACCACTTAATTATTTTTTTTTTTTAAAATGAAGAAGATAAGAAGTACAATACAACAATAAGAAAGAAGTATAGTCAACCCAATTAAGCAGTACAGAATAGTAGTAGTAGTACTACCCAAATTTGGCCCCTATTTTCTATATATAACAAGTACCCTCCAAGATTCAATATTCCAAAGGCTAATTCAATCTTCACAAGCCATCCTGTATTATTATACCTTATTAATACAAAAATTAATAGGAGAGAGAGCTTAAACTTGGAAAGCCATATGGATCATGACATGCCAGGAATGGGAGGAATGCCACCACCATCACCACCACAAGATCACATGATGATGGGCATGGGGTTGACACACATGACCTTTTTCTGGAGTAAAAATGCTGAAATTCTTTTCTCAGGCTGGCCAGGAACACGAACGGGCATGTACGTCCTCGCTTTGATCATTGTATTTGTGGTCTCCTTGTTTGTGGAATGGATCTCTAACTCCAATTACTTTAAAGTCAAGATGTCAAATTATAATGGTCTTGTTAAGACATTTGTGCATGGTCTAAAAATAGCCCTTGCTTATCTTCTTATGCTTGCTGTTATGTCTTTTAATGTTGGTGTTTTTATAGTTGTCGTGGCTGGACATACTTTTGGTTATTTCCTATTTGGTAGGCGTAATAATTCTGAGAATAATGCATGCCAAGCTTGATCCATTTTCACCGTTGATGCAGTAGAAGCTCTTAATGAAATATTTGATGGTGAAGACATCGGAGTTGTTGGTCAATTGTGCGTAATTCTTGATATATATGTCAGCTTATTATTTTCTAAATTTCCATTTTCCAACTTTAATTTCCAGAGGTGAGATGTATTTGGTTGTGATACTGTAAATTAATGGGATTTATGTTATTCGTCACATTTGTCTAATTAATTTGATGATCTTTTTAGTTGAATATATATTATTCGTTTCATTTCATTTCATTTCATTTGTCCATTTTTTTTTGTTATCAATTCCATAAGGTATCTTATATATATATATGCAAACTTATGACCATAGAAAAATTATAGGACTATAGTAATTTTAGGAGCACAAATTCTACTGCTAACTTGGTAGTACAAGTTTCAGGTTACGGAACCGGTATTTGTACAAAATTTTAAATAGGGAAAAAGTAAAAAATATCCTTAATTTTTATTTATTAGTTAAGTTTATTCTTCATCATACTATTTATATCTTTATCATCACAAATCTTATCACATATATCTCTACATTAACGATTTTCCTCCAATCTGTTCAAAATTACTCATTTAGAACGAATTCTCAAATAAATTCAACCCGCAACCCATTAAATTAAAACTCAAATCAAATTATATATATAAAAAAACCACCATTATAAAAACAAAAACAAATATAATTTTCAATTTCATCAAAACAAACCAAATGCTAGTTTCAATTACTCTTGTTGAGTCCACCCAAAGAAGTCACATACTCTAAGAAGTCAATAGTCTCGTGACATGCCAGGTAAATCAGTAGAAAACACCTCTAAGAAATCACATACTATTGAAACTAACCCTAATACTGAAAAACTGACCCAATAGAAGGGACCTAGCTCTCTATGCTAGTATCTTGAAAATGGGCGAGGAATGCTAAGCACACTCTCTCTACTAACTTGTTAGCATGAATATAGGATATGCCCTTTTTATTTGAGAAAGGACAACAATTCTCCTTTCCCACTAGTTTAGACATCCCAGACATATATAGATATAGAAACACTCTTAGCATTACAATTTAAAATGACATGATACAGAGATAAAAAAAAAAACCCATATCCATGATAACATCAAAATCTATCCTGTCTAATCTACATAGATCTTATAGCCCATAAAAATTACCACAGGTGAATGATAGATTAAATCAACCATCACAGAATCTCTCCTAGGATTAAAAACAAACACAAGAACATTAAGAGACAAACACCAAATTAAGTAGAAGCATAAGAAAAAGTAAAACCAGGATCACATAACGATGTATCCATTCGGTCACAAATACGAATGGTACATGTGATCATTGCCTCACATCTCGTATCTACCTGAGAAGGCATGCCTACCTCGTGTCTGTGAGTATTGTCTCTACCTGCTTGACCACCACCTATATATGTTAGGCTAAGTGCCATCTCTACCTCTTATATGGCTACCCACACACAACAACTGAAGACAATTTATGCTAAATGAAGTCTCTCTTATACCTGCTTGAACTATAGCATGTTGTTGCTATACTATTTGTCCAATTTAATTTGGCTAAATTTAGGACACCATTTATGAATCGTACCCAACACCATTGATCCATAGTTGGACTCTACGTTGAAGTATCCACTCGACCACTGACTGGCCCTTAATGGACCCCTAGCTTGCATAACAGATTGAATAGGGCATCCAAAATATCCTTAAGGAACTAGTTAATTCCTTAGGAAAGGACCCATTGAAGTTATCACCCTTTTGATCCTGTCTTAGCGTAAAATAATTGCTTCACATTCTTAACATGTTCAACCACCTCCTGAACTATATATATATCTTATGAGGTGATACCGGCCATATGCAAAGCCTCTAGCTGAAGTTCCACATTCAGATCCTCTCCTCCACTTTGGGTGGTATAGAGCTGTATTGAATACTTGATCAAAGAGTCATCACCTTAGCTATCACATTTGAAGAAGCTGGAGCATTGTGTAACTTCTGGTAACTCAACTTCTTTTGCCAATTGCAAATGAATTGATTCTTTCATTGTATTGCAATTCAATTCTTCCAATAAATTTGCTAATGACCTAAAAAAAATTAAATTCATTGTCAATTACAAATACTATTAATTAGTTCCTTATTCAGAACTTGTAAGGACATATATAGTTCTTTTTATAAATGCTTCTCAATCATCAAAATTAATTTTAACTAAAATCAACAATTTTAATTTAAAGACCTTGAACAAAAAATACATGCAAAATATATGAGTTGAGCAACAAAACAAATTAAAAAGGAAATGTTCAAGTGTATGAAGAACATCATCAAAATGTGTAGATTATTATTGGGATACATAAACAAGTACATTTGGCACTCAAATTTATTATCTCTGGACAAATAAAAGAGATTCCACTAAAGTTCTTATTTCTAACGTGCCCAAGAGAAAAAGAAGAAATTCATGTTGAAGTTGTGACCATTCTGAGTTTGTGTTGCTGAGCAAAAAAATTAACATGCATGATCGATCACCTACCTCCAGGAAATGGTAAAGTTACATGACTCGTTATACTATCAACATGTATATATATATATATTGTGTTCACTATATTCGTATCCAAATCTCAATGGTTGAGTGCCATGCAATAAAGACTTTATCTCCCTTGAATGTCGATCAGCTCATGAGTGTTTCAATTCCGATCCACCTTCAAATTCTGCTGTAACTTCCTTCATTGTAGGTCGATCATCCCCTTTAACATTTAAAAGAATGTTAATGACTTAATATCTCTATGAATGATAGGAGGGTAGGTAATCTGCTGAGTGCAAGTAGGAAAGTACTCCTGCAGCAACTCTCAGACGAATATCCAAAGAAAGAGTAGAGGCTTTTACTTTATCATGTAAGTGTTCAGAAAGTGTTCCATTGCTAATGAATTCATACACTACAAGGACTTCATTTATGAATTGTTCAATCTGATTGCGATCAATTACCTTAGATTTTTTTATAGCAACGATGCAACTATCCTTTGTACACACTTCCATAACCGCCTTGACCAACAACTCTATCTTTGTCAAAGTCATTAGTTGCCTTTTCTAGCTCTTCCGCTGTGAAAATCTTTACTGTGTTAGTATTACTTGATCCAGCTCTTCCCCTTGTAGAACTAATCCACCATTTTCTTGGAAAACACATTAACATCTTTCTCCTTTGGAATGCAGTGTATGACCAGCCAAAAACAATAATAACCATAAAAGCAAACCCTATAATAAAAATATATAAACATTGATCATAACAGTTTGCCCATTTCGAAATCTGTTATTGTTTAAGCCATTCGTTGGCCATTGTACTGTGACTATTTAATTTAGGTAAAAAGGGTAATTTTAAAGTTAAATTGTTTCTGAGCATAGAAAGATGATATTCTTTTTTATATGGATGAGTTACACGGTTTTGCAAGAAATAATTAAACAAGTAGTAGTATTTTGAAAGAAGTTAAGAGAGGTACCTATAAGAAGATCAATATTATGAGTTATTCCGTGAGATTGTCAGTATTTCATACAGTACCATTACCATTAAAATATGGAAGCTAAGGCAGGTGCATGTATAGTGCCCTTGTGTATTCTGGCAAATGGAATCTTTGGCACATCTATAATCAGCTTTTCGAAAGTCATGAATTTAATTAATTTTCAAAGTTAAATTAGATTACATTAATTTGACATTTCAAAAAAAAAATTAGATATTAAAAAACTATACGAAAAGTAATATAAACTATATGAAAAAATACATCGTAAACTATTAGTCAAAATTCTTATAATTTGACTCTATAAAAAAACTATAACAATTAAAAATGGACGAATGAAGTATTTGTTATTCTAAATCGAGAACTTTGTGGAATGAGGGACTATTTTGTATTTTTTAAGACTTTGGGACTTTAGAATTTGATTATACCGACTATCTTGTACTCCTCTGTCCAACAATATAGTTGTCCACTGTATATTGATTTGATACACACTTTTTTTTTTAAAAAATAAGGGTAATATTAATATATTATCCTTTAAATATATTAAATCCAATATTTGAAAAATATATTAGATATTTTCTCTGTCCCTAATTACTTGTCCACTTTTGAATTGACACACCTATTAAGAAAACAATTAATGACATAATGAGTTTACCATTTTACCCCTATTAATTACGAAGTGGATGAAAAGTTCTACATTTTTCAAAGTAATTAATCATTTAATTGAGGGTATAATAGGTAAAAAAAATTTGTCATTTCTTGATTTGTCAAAATGGACAAGTAATTAGGGATAACTATAAAAGGAAAAGTGGACAAGTAAATAGGGACGGAGGGAGTATTGCCTAGTATTTAATACTCCCTCCGTCCCATTTTATGTGGCACCATTTCCTTTTTGGCCAGTCCCAAAAAGAATGTCACATTTCCTTATATGGTAAGTATTTAAAGGTACAATTCCTCTTTTATTCTTGTTGGTCCCACTTAATCTTAAAATAATACTCCAATACATTTATGAGAAGAGAGAAAAGTGAGTCTACTTTTTAAAGGGCAATTTGATAAACATTTCAAAGTCTTCATTTATTTCTTAAACTCCATGCCCGGTCAAATGTTGCCACATAAAATGGGACGGAGAGAGTAATAAGGGCAAAATAGTTACAAAAGGGTAAATTATCTCTTAATTTTTCAAACTGCACAAGTATTGTTAGACAATCATTTTTAGTATAATAAATAAGTAAATATGAACGGAGGGAGTATTATTAAGAATAAGGTGCCAGGGTTGACAACTTCTTAAATGATGACTTCATTAATAGTGTCTCTTTCACCGATAAAATAAGACCTGTGACTATTTTGCCAATTGAACTTTGAAAATAGCATTTTAGCCAAGTCACTCCACCCTCTTAAGATGTGATGGTTGGGTTTGGGGGGCGGGGGGGGGGGGGGGGGGGGGCAAGTTCAAAAGATAATTAAGACTACTGATAGTTTA